TACATACATACATACATACATATTAAATGTCCAGTGTTCGTGGCTCGAAGTGCCTTGGCAGACGCCCGAAGCCCGAAATGCCACTTGCGGGCCCTTCACACCTATGATCAACAAACACCCGAAAGCATGTAAACCTGAAGCCCTTATAAGCCCTAGAGCTAAAAGCCATGTGCCCAAAACACTATAAGCCCATTTCTGACAACCAGCCTCAAGAGTGCAGTCCAAGGGCTCTGATAGCTGGCAACGCCATCGAGAAGCATTGGAATCCAAATTGCCAGGCCCAGTATCCAGGCTCCGAGGCACATGCCTGCTCTCTCTCTCTCTCTCTCTCTCTCTCGCTCTCTCTGTCTCTCTCTCTTCTGGTCTGCAGGGCGGCTCTAGCATTACCAGGCTCTTCGTCTTAATTTCGGGCAACTGAGGGATAGCTTCACGGACACAGCAGCTCGGGTATTGATCGCTCTCCGAGTACAAAAACACCACTTGGGAAGACCTACATTAAATCGTGTTGAAGCCACGCTGGCAACCGAGAACCCGAAATAGTTGCCGTAAGCGACACACACACACATGTATGCATGCATGCATGCACGCATGCATGTATGTACGTATGTACGTCTGTATGTATGTATGTATGTATGTATGTATGTATGTATGCATTTATGTATGTATGTACGAATATGTATGATCTTTGCCTGTATGTGTATGTGTGTCTGAAGGCATGTATGCAAATAAGTAAGTAAGTAGCAATGTATGTATGTTTGTATGTATGCATGTGTGCATTTGCGTATGTCTGTCTGTCTGTCTGTCTGTCTGTCTGTCTGTCTGTCTGTCTGTCTGTCTGTCTGTCCGGCTGTCTGTATGTATGCATGTTTGTGTGGATGTAATCATGCATGTATGTATGCATGTGTGCATGTGTATATGTATGTATACATATATAGGCATATATAAATATATATATATATATACATATGAGCATATATATATATATATGTGTGTGCGTGTGTATAGGCATGTCCGTATGTGTGTATAAATATGTCCATAACAGTGTGTATGTATATACACATGCATGCATGTGTGTGTATCTATTTTTTAGATACATACATACAGGCATACATACATACATATATATATATATATGTACAACATATGTCAACGAGGACATGCATATAATCTGTAGATGCATGTGCAGCGCATATGCGTGTTTATGTATGTATGTGTATATATATATATATATGACATGTATATACGTATACATGCACACCTACTTTGACAAGAGCTGCGTAGATTGAAAAGAGTGTGATGGAGAGGAGCATCACATTCCTGAGTCTTTTTAGGATTGTGGGTGCTTTAGACTTTACGGGGAATGGGTCTTATAAAGGGTTATAGTCCAGGATTTTGGATAGTTATGGCAGTTTAGGGTTTGGGATTGTCGGGTTTACCCACACATATTTGATATTCAGCCCCTGATTGTTCACTCAGAGTCCCACGGCTCCACTGTCGGGTGCCGAACATGTAAGCCCTTACGATGTATCGGGGATCTGACTGTGTTGCTATGATATCTCTTGTAACAAGCGTAGTCCTTGTAACAGCAGTGTAGCCCCAGCAACAGTCTTCTTCTACTTGCTCTGGACATGCCACGCTCTCTGAGCCAATATGCTAAACCCTAAACCCTAAAATCCAAACCCTTTAGAGCCCTGAACCACAAGTCTGCAAGCCAAGCAGCAGAAGCAGGCCCAAAACAAGCTCACGAATCTGTCTCTGGGCAGGTTCCTTTCAGGAGTCGATTTAGGGTTTAGGGTACTATAACGGCTTGGTATAGGGGCCTGAATTGTTAGATAGCTGCTTTGGATTAATTTTTGTGTCGTAGGCACAGTAGGGACTAGAGGGGGGATACGAATGTTTGTTAGTAAATACTCCGGGTTGGGCTTTCTGTAGGCGTGGCCCATTTATTAGCGACTCAGCCCTAGACCCTAAACCCTAAACCGCGCTGCGCCAGCTGATGTTGGGCTTCTGAAGTTTACTTACCATAAACTCGATATTCAACGGCATGAGCTTTGAAACAGCTTTGCGGTCAGGGTTACGGAGCTTAGGGATTGTGGGTTTGGCTGGGTCTCGGAGTTCAAGACTTTCGGCTTTAGTGTGTCATGGCTTAGGCCTTGATTAGGGGTTTAGGGTTTAGGGATTAGGGTTGAGGGTTTAGGGTTTAAGGTTCATGCGGCGCAGCTTTGGCCCAGATACCTCTCACAAAAATGCTTGCTACAGAAAGAACAGCTGAAGATATTGTGCACAAATGCCATCACTCAAGACGACAGCAAGCATGCACGAATACACAAAGCTGTATACTTCCCAATCACTTTTACTGCGAACTTCGTGGTGGATTAGTAATTAGTTACATGTGCGTGCACTTGTGACAAAGCATGCAATACTGCACTCATGTGCACATAGCCAGACAGATGCATTCCTGGTTCCTATGAACGCACGACCACGCAAGCAGACTCATGCACGCATACATACATAAATACATAAGTACATACATACATACATACATACATACATGCATACATACATACATGCATACATGCATACATGCATACATGCATACATGCATACGTGCATACATGCATACATACCTACATACCTACATACCTACATACGTACGTACATACATACATACATATACACACACTCACACACGCACACACGAGAGCAAATACTCAGATGCATGCACAACGTCCTTACAAACTCGTCACAAGTTACATGTCTAGTTCCCACAGATACATGGACATCGTCGACCAGTCGACCACTGTCCATACATGAACGAGTTGCATCTAGCTGCGCCAGAGATGTGCTTCTTTCATCTGCAGCAATTGCACATGTCATGACACGTTGCATTGCGCAATATCTCACAAATCACGATCCTACTTGGCACTACACCGCAGCACACTGCATCCTAATGCAGCCTACTGCTGCATGGCATTCCGACAATGTTGAGAGCATACTCTGCACTGTCGTACTTCACATGTCACGGCCTTCTGTTGTATTACTATGAATGGTAACACAATGCAGTATGTACTTGAACATGAAGACAGACATTTACGGACAGGCAGGAGGACCATGCAAATGTAGTTTCGTAGATCTGTGCATACGCACAGGCAGTTTTCACGATGGCATTTGTGAATGCTTACACGCGCGCATGCAAACACACTGCCACATGCACACACAACGCCGCATGCGGGCCACTTATCGCAGCTACCTACTCCAAACTTAAATAGGAAACAACCGCAAGATAAGCCAGGCGGCCACGCTCCCCTCAATCCCATGGCCGTTCCGGTCATGAAGCATGCGGTGCCTCTGGTCTCTCCGCCAAACACATGACAACAAGGTGCAATGCAATATTAGCTTGGTTACTTAATTCATTTTGTGGGGGATGCTGCGCTGCCACCAGAAAATGTACGTGGTCTAGGGCGACAGAACATAATCCCGCTGCTGCACAAAAGACTGTATGTAGTTTGTTGATAGCTGGCTGTCAAAGGGCTTGTGCAGGCAGTAAGACTGGCTACAGCTATGGCCCTAAGCCCTGAACATCCCTAAGCCTAAACCCTAAATGCCTAAACCCTATGAACTAATATAGAAGCCTAAATGATGACCAATCTTACTGTTAGGGTTCCTTATCATAGTAATACTATAAAGGAGTCAAGAACCCTATTCTAATTTATTAAGGCCCCTACATTAAACAGGCTGACAGGCCGGAGGACGGGGGCGGCCCAAGTCATACGCGCGGTTTTCAATTTTGCCACACGGGAAGCATCGGGAAGCCTCCCTAACCCTCCAGGTACCTACTATATAGGGCCCCAGGGGTTCTAGTACCCTATATAGTAGGCACCTGGAGGGTTAGGAGTTAGGGCCTTATCTCAAGTTAGGGTTTATAAGGTGGGAGGTCCAAGGGCGAAGCCCCAAACGCTGAATCTTGAGACCTATCTACTATAACCTCTGAACCTCCAGAGCCCTAAACGGTGTAGGGTTTAGGATTTAGGGTTAGGGCCTAGGGAAGGTTAGGGTTCAGGCAGACTTGAACACAAAGCTGAAGCTCCAAACCCGTGAAAGCACACAACCCAGATCCTAAGCCCGGAAACTTGTAAATCAGATTCCTAGACTGGGCTCTGACTCTAGAAGCCGAAAACCAGAAAAGGAGCCGTAGTAGGGCGCAGAATCCGTGAATTGAACCTGAGTGATTCAGCTTGCTAGCTGGGAATGGAGCTTTAGAACTTTGAAACAGGCTCCTTAAACACAACAAATGTCTAACATCAATTCGATCGAGATGCATAGCTCCTCAAGATTCTTAGTCCCTGACACATGTTTCGCACACCGGCATCGCACACCGGCACCGCATGCACTTGAAGACTTGGGTTTCCGGTTAAGTGGAAGGAGTAAAGCAAACGATGCTTTAGTTTCAGGGAGCACTGCTTCGGCTGGACCCACGAAGCTTGCGTGTGCCTCACCCACCAAGCTCGACGGTGCAAGATGCCCCAAGCTCCAACACCCTCATGCGGATTATTGCATAAAGTAAGATCGGGATCGCCGACAGTACACAGCCCTTGGTCAAAAGGATAGTATGGAGTCTCTGCAGAGTGTTTGTCACTACAGCTGCATCGGGTCGTGGCAGGTTCGGACAACGTTTGGCGAACTGGGCGACGGCTCTCATTAAACCAATACATAACCATGGGCTTCGGATCAGCAAGAACACAGATCCGACTTCGACACAGAATCAGACAAAGGAGCACACATGCACACACGCACACACACACGCGCACACAAGTCTCTCTTGACATACACCTACACGGAAACGTTCTTGCCGTACCTGCGCACTCTAAGAACTGAGATGCGTGAAAAGCTCGGAGAATGCATAGATGCATTCATCTTTACATAGCAATGTTTCGTCTGTGTATTGTCCTATCTGTGTGAATGCATGCATGAATGCATGTCTTCATAGGCTTACAGTATGCTTATTCTGACCTTTGGCGGGCTGCAGACTTGAGCCAGCAACAGGCCCTAAGCGGCCCTAAGCATAAAGTAACTCTAAAACTTCACAGCCAATACCCTGAACCAGGGCTCCTTTATAGCAATTTGCCCCACCCTAAAACCTTCAAGGAGCCCCGTTTCCATGCCTGAATATAACCTCAGCCCAGCCAGGCAGTGCTCCAAGACGGAAAGACTGCAGCGTCCTAAGCCCCAAACCCTAAACTCTAAACCCTAAACTCTGAACCCTAAACCGTAAGCCCGAAAAAACTCGAAACCCTAAACTCTGAAGCCTAAACCGTAAACCCGAAACCCGAAACCCTAAACCCTAGCTCTCAACATGCAGTGTTTAAGGGATGCTACTCATACTATTACTAGGTTCACGGTTTAAGATTCGGGTTTAGGGTTTAGGGCTTAGGGTTTAGGGAGTTCAGGGCTTTGCCGCCTTGCATCGCTAAGCTCTGTTGAAGTTTAGGGGCATGCCCATGTGGATCCAGCACATATCCAAAGCTGATTGCTTTCCCCGGGATGCCATTGTACAGGCCGTTCCTGGGCTTTACATGATGGCGAGGCAGGGTTGTCTCAAAGGGTTGCTCTAAGGGCTACTGCAGGGACCACTAGAAGGGCGACTATAAGAGTTACAATACGGGTCATTGTGTCAGGGTTTGGGGGATGCAAAAAAAGTTCGGGACCTCTCGTCAGCCAGGAATGAGAATGCTACACTAAGATCCGCAATGTCGATAAGAAAAAACCGAAATGGACATTGAATACATGTGCGGACGTCCGCGCTGTCAAGAACTCAACTTGTGGAATGGGCGCATAAACATAATGTATACATATGTGTGTATATATATATATATATGTATACCTATCTACACACATGAGTGCAGAGAGATCGAGAGTGTGTGCGAGAGACAGGGAGAGGCTGAGAGAGCATGTACATGCATACATATGCATAGTTTACATGTAGGTGCAAGTGGGAATGCATGCATACATGTATGGGTACATATATGTGTATGTATATACATATATACACATGACCAGTATATGGCAATTATGTATATATACATATATACACACACAGAACGAGAAAGAGGGCTCCATACTTAGAGAAAGGATGGGAGTCATGTTCGTAAAGACAGGCTTGCGTGCTAATTCGAAAGCATGTGTCTCGGTCGACGATCAGAGACGGTATATGCCCAAACCAACTCCGTGTTTGTTTACGTACATACATACATACATACATACATTCATTCATTCTTGCATGCATACACACACATCACATCACATCACATCCCATCTCATCGCTTAACACCCATACATACAAACATACAAACATGAAGTGCCTACCTACATACATACATACATACATGCATACATACATATGTACATACATGCATACATACATACATACCTATGTACGTAGGTACATGCATACATACATACATACATACATACATACACACACATACATGCATGAATACATACTTACATACCTACCTACCTACCTACCTACCTGCCTGCCTACCTACCTACCTACCTACCTACCTACCTACCTACCTACCTACCTACCTACATGCTTACAATGACATACAACATACGTGCGTACAGACTTACATACGTACATATAAACATGAATACATACATAAATACATACAGGCATACATGCATACATGCATATATGCATACTTACACACACATGAATAAGTGCATACATTGTATATGCATACATACATGCATACATACATACATACATACATACATACATACATACATACACAAGTACACACCTTTGAACAAGCTTTATTCGGCATGCTTCTGTTCTATTCAACAGGCCAAAGGAACCCTTAGAACAAGCTGCCACAACAAACACAAGACGAGGTCTCAACACTTACATCATGTTGGGGGTCCCGGACCAACCTCCACAAGGAATTACTGTAGGATGTCAGACCTCCCTGCAGCCATGATGCAGAAAGAAAAAGATGCCACCAAACGTGATGACCGTCTGCCTAGGCCGTCGCATCTGGAACAGGGAAGTTGAAAACGATGAGACTGCAGGGACTGTTCTTGCTTTGAGCAGTTACCTGCACAGCCGGGGATGGAGTTGCTGCTGGTCGAGGCTTCCTATGTGGAAGTTGTGAAGCCATGCCCAAGGGGTACATAGTAGTTCCTTTTGGTGGCTTATATTTAGGATCCTATTAGGGAACCCCCAAAAGGAACTACTGTAGGGCCTATGGGTACAGACTGAAACCCAAATGCTAAAGCCCACAAACTGCAGACATTTAATCTCAAGATCCGTTGAACCGTGAGACGCGTTCGTGAGCCGATACAGCGAGCACCCGAAAGCCCAAACCGCTGGTTAAGCTCTAGGAGTTTTCAAGCAAGTGCAGGCCAGAAAGACCGGTCCGGCTTCGAACCGCGAGTGTTAGGGTCTTGGGGCAAAACCCTAAACCTGAAACCCTGAACCCTGAACCCTAAACCCTAAACCTTAAACCCTAAACCTTAAACCCTAAACCCTGAACTGGGTTTGGGATTCCCGGCTATCGGGTCTGAGCGATCAGGCTTGTGGAGGTGAGGGTTAGGCGTAATATCGGGGCCTTGGTGATTACAATATTTGGGGTATATTGTACAAAATATGACTAGAACAAAGAACACCAAAATCGTATCGGCAATGATTTAGGCCCCGATATTTTAAGTGTCTGCGCTGGGCAAAGAGAGTCGTCGCAACTGGAAGACCTTTCCTCGCGGGCGACGAGCATCACAGGTAGCTCTGTGAAACGAAAATCGTCATTTTCTAGCAGTGTCGTAGTTGGCCACAAACCAATCCTTGGTTTATGGGGTGCTGAAAGTGTGCGAGGGGGTTTGGGGCTCGGGCTGGATGCTTGGAGGGGTCGCGGCGTCGGGCTGAACCCTCATCGGAAGAAACAGAAGTCAGAGGCCGTGTCAACTCCTCCTGCTAAAATTACTATCAAGTTAAGGTTGTAGTACATCCTGCTTGGCTCTATATACAATGAGAACTAAATCAGCTTTGCATAGTACTGTTTAAGGTTTCAGTCTGTAATATGATGCATCGAAAGATGCTCTGTGAGACAAGTGTCACATACTCTGTCTGGCAAAACCCAACAACATGATATAGCCCAACATTATGTAACACGTCGTAACAGAACATAACACCACCGAACAGTTCATGCCGTTGCATAAAGCATAGCATAGCACAACGAAATACAACATCATGCAGCATACCCGAACTTAACGTAATCGGACATCATGTAACATAACACAGCACAATATTGCATGCAGAAGCATAGCATAGCACAACACAGCGCATACAATCATAACCTAGCATAACATAAACCGTAGTAGCATAACATAGGACAGCATAGCAAAACACACAGCACAGCTTATTTACCAAAACATAGCATAGCACAACATCACATCAAACACAAAATGGCGCAACGACAGACAGGTAAGAGGAGCCATAGGCAGAATCGGCGTTGTTGTCTTCAACCGTTTCAACACATTAACTAGTTATTTAACTGTATGCAGGATCTTGATGCAACAGAACATAACCTGATGTGTGCTATTGTAACCACGCGCTCGTTCGCCAAGAAACGACAGCTTCTTTGATGCCTTCCGCGATCCTCAGCATGACTACTCCGCACAGGATCAGGGTTCAGCATTCGGATCGGCCATATATTCTCAAAGGGTCGAAGTACCAATATCAGAGTATCATATATACCTTTCGGGCCAAATTGTACACTGTATTCGTACTGAAACCCTAAAAACCCTACACGCTTACTGGGATCCTTGTATGGATTGTTTGAGCCGCTTTGGTTCGCGCCCCGCTACTCCCGGATCCCCCGCCAAGAACCGAAAGCATAAGGCCCTGAGGGGCCTAGCTACCCACAGGCTCCACAGTAGTTCCTTTTTGGGATTACCTTAAAGGATCCCAGATATGAACCACAAAAAGGAACTATTATGGAGCCTATGGGTAAGAAGGGTTTCAGGGTTTAGATTCAGGGTATAGATGAAGTGCGGGAGCGCAATCCACAGACCCTCAACCCTTAAATTAGGCGCCCGAAGAAGTGAAGGATTGCGGCGCATGCTATGCTAGTTACAAGCAAGTACGTGCTTACCTATGTAGGTTTGCACGTCTGTTGCCTGCCTGCCTGCCTGCAGACATGCATACATACAATTGTGCAGACACTACATGTGTAAATAGCATTGCCCGGTAGTTCTTGAGACTGCTTTGCTACGCCTGCTACGTCATGGTATATGAAAACCCTCATGCTAGCATACCACGTTTCCCGCCCTCCCTCCCTCTCTTGATGTGTCCACTGAATCGGGTTTCTGTTCGCAGCAACTTCACTTCGGCAACGAGAACGGAAGCGGGAGAAACCAGCATTACGCTCTGTACAGCAATCGAGAAGCCAATAAACAACCACAAACCCTAAACCCCAAACCCCGCAGCCGCCTAAGCCCTATCAACCCCTACTGCGCTCTGCACACCAAGACCCTACTATAGAAGCCTAATTAAATGCCTATACTACTTTGGGGGTTCCTTTTCATATTTACACTACAAAGGGCCCCAAAACCCAAGTCTAATTATTAAGGCCCCTAAACCCTAAACCCTTATAGTAGCCCTTATAGTATCCCGTTCAAAGGAACCCTTTAAAGGAACCCTATCCTAACTATGAAGGCCCCTATAATTCAACCCTAAGCCCGTCAAGAGTCGGCTTGAACTTGTAGTCCGGCTTGTAGGACCGCAACTTCGTGTTCGAAGCTGTCTTCTTAAACCTGGGTTTAGGGTTTAGGGTTTAGGGCTTCTTAAACCTTCAGAGGCGTTGAAGGGTTTAAGGTAGGGGCCTTAATAATCAGAGTAGGCTTTGGGGTATATTACACTATACTCTTCTTAAACCTTCAGAGGCGTTCGAGGGCTTGGGGCTAACAGTTAGGGTTTAATGTAGGGGCCTTAATGATTAGAATAGGGCTTTGGGGTATGTTATACTATAAACTATACTAAGGAACCGCAACAGTAGCATTGGTAAGTATATAGGCCCCTATATTACGCTTTAGGGCTTTGCTTGAAGGGGATCGACCAGGCCGCAAAGAGGGGCTTTATGAGGGTTACTGCACGGGTTTGGGGTTCAAGGGTTTACAATTGTAACTTACACTTGCCAAGAACGAAGTTTGGACAACACAGCAAGTCCAGCGACTATCTTCAGGGCTTAAGGTTTAGGGAGAACAGTGTTCTTAAGGCACTTCTTACTAGAGTCGCTCCAAACCAGAACATAAGCGCCGCTGGTAGCTTTTGCTCGCGAACGCTGGTTTCTGACGCTCCTGCATGTCGCAATCCCTGGGTTCTATTGTCTTGGATTGAAACAACGTCCGCGACCTGAACCCTGAACCCTGAGACCCCCGGTAGGATGAGCTTACGACATCCACTTCACACCCAGGCGACCCAGCAAGGGACACACGAGCTCAAGGCTCTTTCGCAGTTTAGGGTTTAGGGTTTAGGGTTACGGTTTACGGTTTTACCCTAAACCCTA